TAATGATTTTATCAATCAATTTCTTGAAAGAAACCCCTTATTTTCACCAACAGACCTTATTATCTTAATATGGCATATCGTTTTATAATAATATCATTTTATAATATACTACCTATGGTATAACCAAATTTTACATTATTAATAAAGTTTGTTTAAGTTATTAATGTGCACGAAGCTGAAAGAAATGCATGTAGATCTGCCATTAACGGGCATAAAATTCAATTCATGTAGGTCTACCACTAACGGGCATTAAATTCATTTGTAAAGATAGCATAAAAATATTTTCTACAAATGTAAACGTTCTAGTTTATATGAATGTAGCTTTATTCACATTAACGCTTCGGGCGAAACCAAAATATTTCGCCAAATCCGAAATCCATGCGATATTGGTTTCGCTCAGCATAGTTTTGATTACTTAATTGATGTCGCACCCAGTTAGTAGCCAAATTTCTCGCATTTTTTTGAAAATGCACTACAATGGTAATCGCTTAGCCATTATCAACATGATTCGTTAAACGGTTCTAACGTTACTTTTGATTTTGGTTAAATTTCAGAGAGAAACACAGATCTGAAATGCTCTTCTTGACATAAGAGAATTCTATATAAGCTATTACTAAAAAATTTGCCAAATAAAAAAAAAATCCTCAAAGATTTTCTTAAAATCATGTGGCTCAAGACATTATTATATGCGCTAGACAAAAATATTATAGGAAGATTTTAGTATATCAATATGGGTACTTCCACAGTAAATAGGGGCTTAGAGGTGATCTAACCGAAATTGTGATTTTATTGGATTGTACGTATTCGCAAGTGTGCGAGTTATTTATAGTAAAATTTTAGCACATATTGACATACTATAATTTTGTACACAGTAATTTTACATACGCTGACTCTCTGTTCTAATTTTAGACTACTATTAACGTTAACGTTAGGCGACAAAAAGTTAAAATTATATCAACAATGCATATCAGTATAATCGAAAAACATTGGCCTGCACTAGTTATTTTACGGCTGTATGCCAGCTACTTAAGAAGCTGGAGATTTATTTATTGTCCGGAGCGAAGCGGAGGACACTCTGTTTTTACGATAGACTGTGATCATCGAGATCACGTGGAGTTGTCCTTCCGTCCGCTTTTATGAATGCTGATTGGCCGAATATTTCGATTTGTACTGCTTCCTTTTACGAAGTACTATACAGCTATATGCACTTTTATGCTCCGGACTTTTACTGGTTTCCAGTTCCTAGTTATAATAGACCGTCAGTGTTATGCATTTGGGGTATTTTCTAATATGTCTACTGTTCAAGAAAGTCCAACCATGTTTAAAATTGTATAAAAACGTATAACTACTAGGTGTCTTTAAAATCCCTGATTTGGGTTGTGTGTAAATAATAATGATAAAGTCGCTTGAAAGTGATAATAATCATACTGAATAATTTTTAATGGTTGATTGTTACGCGTTGATTGGCATAAATTAGCATGGATGTCCGGGACAAAAGAATTCTGAGCAGTGTCCGTGTTGGGGTATTCGGTCAACTATGTTTGACAACTATATGAGGTACCATATAAAAATTAATTATCAAAGATTTTTTTTGAATCCAGTAATAGGATAGTGATAAAGATAGTGTCGGGATTATTATAGAATGACTTGAATGTTTTTATGTCCAGAACGAATCGCTTCACTTTATTTCGATTATTTTAGCATAAATCTATAACATGTTTATAACAAAGTTACGTTGAAATTTTTTAACGTTAAACTTTAAAAAAATTATGTTTCGTATTGTGGACTATTCGAAGAGAGATATTTTCGTTGCATATAAAAATTTTAATACTAAAACATAAATTTTTTTAATGTAACTTTGTTATAAACGTGTTTTAAGATTAGATTTATGCTAAAATAATCGAACAAAGTAAAGCGATTCCACTAGTCGAAATAAAGCCTATCGCGCAAATATCATAGCTTTTTTAGTCCCGATATGACACTGATTAATGGCTCCAATCGTGTCATTTCCAGATTCATATCGGGGCTAATAGAGCTGTTGGTTAAATATCAGAATTCTGATAGCTTTAATAATTTTACTGACAGCTCTATCAGTTCCGATATGAACCCAGAAATGACACGATTCGAGCCATTAATCAGTGCCATATCAGGACTAAAAAGGCTACGATACTTGTCCGATATGCTTTATGTCGACCAGTGTTCGCTCTAGACAATTAAAAAACATTCAAGTCATTCTTTATTATTTAGAATATATAAAAAGTGATAGTAATCCTGACCACTATCCTGATCATCCTAACACTAAATTCAAAAAAATCCAATAACGATAATTAATTTTTATATGGTACCATATATAGTTTTGTCAAACATATCCCGGTTAAAAAATCATATTGTAACTAAAAATAACCAGTAGTATATAGTACAAATTATAACTTATTTACTATATATTTACTAGGCAATATATGTAGTTTAATATATTTTTAACCGTATTTATCGGACGTGGGTACCCCGGGTATTTACATATCTCGATCTTTGTACCCGGGTACTTCTACACTATATATTATTATATAGTTAAAATATAATTTTTTTACCAGTGATAGTTGACCGAATCCCAGTGCCTGTGTCCCATGACAACACTGCCCTCAGCTATACACATAAGATATTCATTTCCTTAATTGCATAATCGACTCTTTGTCAAAATCATCTTTTTGATATATAGAATTTTCTTCGTTTATAAGTCTTCAAACGATTGCTATGGAAGCATTTAATGTTGGTATAATAAATACGCAACAGGTAACTTCATTAGCATTAGATTGTATTAATTAAGGTAGCATTTAAGGATTGGTTTCAGTTATGATTATTGTCGGTCAGTGACCGGTTATAACTATAACCAATACTAATCAGTCAGAGGTTTTAACTGCCCATAACCGACGCCATGTATTGGCATAAAAAGTTTGATAAAAATAAATGCTTTTCAACCATTGTTTAATTCTGTTTTATTACTGATAATTTTTGCAACCATTATACATATTCCAGTTTAATGCAATAAATAATAAACTTGTTTGGCACGTTAGCCCATAACCTACGTAATTATTTCTTATCATATGATCTAATTAGAGTATTATTTTGATCAACAAAATTACGATTTAAGAATTAGGAATGTTAAAAAGTCCGATCCTGAGCTAGTTAGGAACCCCAGTACGGAACTGGTTTAACCCTAATGGTTTATTACACGATACATATAATTTGAAACTTTGTAATACTCAATACTTATCGTTTCTTATTACAGAATTTATATGAAGTAAAAGAAACAAAAACCCCCCCGGTATTACAGTACACAATGATAATCACGCAATTTTGTCCACTTAATTAGGAATAAAGTAAAGATCTATCAGTCACTAAAATTGATCTAGGATGTACAGATGAGGGAAAATGGTTTCACTAAAGTTGCACTTATATTCTTTAGTCAATAAAATTCACTCGTATTTCAAAATGTGTTTAATCATGTTACAATAATTCTCAAGTGTGGATTTACCGAACAACATAATTTGCTAAAAATTATATTTTGAGCCGAAAAAAATTGCAACCACCTATTTTTTTTTTCATTGAATTGCATTGATTTGTTAAAATTAAAATTCGCATTTCGTATTTGAATTTGCGGCAAAGACATTATTAGGATCGCTTCAATTAAATGTAAATTAAGAACTCTGCAACGAACAAAATACTATGTATATAGTAAGAAATTCTTGCAAACTAAAATTCGAGAAATAAAAGTTACCAATATCGATATGGGTAATTATTTTTGAACCCGGACCAATTTATATATGACGTACTGTAATAACATTTCGTTCAGTATTCAAAAATAATTACCCATATAGTAAGATTTTTTAGTATCTATTTTTAGAATAAAAGAAGTTTTTGGATGTATAAAATATGACTTATATTTTTCACTCGGAAGAATATAACCTGGTATTACTATTATTTCTTAACAGTTGTACCGATATTCTTTATTTATATTGTCGAACTATGGCACTTAACTATGTAACTCCAAAAACATCATACAAATGCGTTATCTCTTGGAGGCGTTACACTGAAAAAGATTATACAAGGTGAAGATAGTATTAAGTACTGTAATAAGTGAACAGGAAGAAAAGAGAAATTATTCAAGGACACCAATGGATTTAATAAACTCTAACCCAAGAATTTCTTGTCATATAAACTGTTATTATTTCTATTCCAGTGTTATCATTTGTTACATAAACATTTTTCGAATCACATATATATTACATAATCATTTTGATATTTAACGTTAGGGCAGTTTGATTTACAAAATAGATGTGCGGTGTTTTGAGAATCAACCGTGACATTATTCCCTCATGTTCAATGACCCAATGCCGAGACAACAAATAGATGACTACTACACAATTGGTTCAAACATTATGAAACCTTAGTTTTTGTGTATGCTAAAAAAGGAAATCACGGGAATAACACGCCCGGTCTGGATATATAATTAGTTTGATATCGCTATTAGCGTAACTTAATCATATTATATACGTAAAATTCTTTACGATTTATGATAGATCTTATGACTTCACAATATTCAAGCTTAAATGATAATTTGATCTTGCTAAACCAAACCATTTCTCTCGAACCATGTCGATGGGACTTATCGATTATAACAAATTGTAAAGAAAGTTCATACATGCTCTGGATATGTTATGTTTCAATAATATTATGTTTGATGATATCAATTTTATCGTTAGTTATCTTAGTTTATAAGACTATTTGGCATAATATTCCAATAAAAAAGAACATTAACTTGGATCCTATTAAGGGATTTTTGATTTTGATGTTTTTGTATGGGATACGTATGTATATTATTTACAGTAATATATAATGTATTTAAACCAGGCCTCATTATTCAATTCAGCAATTCAGTAGTTTATAAGCATAGTATATAAAATTCCAATTGTTAGAATTTTTAAATTTAAATACCTGGCGCTATGGCCTGTGGTCTATAGTTAATTCATTGTTAATGACATTCAATTTTTTTTTTCCTCAGTTCGAACAATTTCACTACTAATAGCAACAAAAGATTTGATCCATGATAATTATATTATAAAGTCAGTCATTTCGGCTCTTAGTTGGGCGTTTGGATGCTTCGCTATTGCAACCTACTTATTTAGCATGTAATTTATTTCGTCTAAATTAATGCTTTTGATTTATAACTTATTAATGAATAAATCTTTATTTTAGATTTAAAGTACTTCCTCGATTAGCATTAAACCAACACTCTGTCTTCAGTATCGATGCAGATCTTCCTGAAGACCATTTGACTGCAAACCGGTTTATACCAAGCCCTAACTCAATGCTTAAAATATATTGGACATATACAATCACTACATTTGTTCTTACTTTAATTTTATCAATATTGAGAGGTTATTTTCAAGAAACTGGTGAAGATACGTCATTTAATATAACTCACACACTTCTAGGAGTTGGGCTTGGAATTTCGGACGTGTTAGGAATCGTATTTTTTATGAAGTATGGAAGATTAGTTATTAAATTACTTGAAGAAAGTGCTACACTAATAGGATTGATGGACATAAGAAATTCGCAGTTTAAGACTTTATGCCTAGAAAATTATCGTATTCATTTGAAGAAGGTATTTTTTTTAAAAAATAAAAATAAAAATTGAATTAAAAATTATATTGTAATTATTTATAAAAATACATATATATGATATGCAGCTCAAGATTATAATTTTAGCCTACTTGTTACAGTTGGTTGGCTTGGGTTTTTAGGTTTTTTTGCTGCTCTTCTAAGAAAAACAATAGAACAATACATGCCATGGTACATAATTATAGCAGCTATAAGCTTAGATGGAACCACTACGTTAATGTTGATCACACTTCTTGGAATTATTTACGGGTATGCTTAATCATAGATCATGTTTTGAGTTATACGTAATTTTCATTTTTTTTTTATTTAACTTTTCTAATTTATAGAGAAATACACAAAAACTATAGTATACAAGCGGAAGAAATTACCAACTCCATTACTTATTCTGAATTTTAATTAAGATATTTAGTTATTATATATATAAATTATATAGATTTATATCAAAAGTTTGTTTATATAGAATTAAAATATTATTAATATAGTAATACCTTTAATAAATATCGTATTTTCGCATAATAACGCTATGAGCGTTATTTAGAATAATGGCATTAGACTTAATTTGGGCCAAAATTTGAAATTATGCCCCTTCGCTTTATTTCGCGAAAATACGGTAATTAAATTATGCTATACTATACTGTAATTTTACTTTTTAAATAATTTAAATTTGTCTTTTATTAAACTAAATAAATTATTAATAATATTTAAAGTACTATAGTTCAGTGTTGGTACTAGAATTCTGGAACCCCACTGGACGCCCAGATTTTTTCAGAGTTCTAGAGTTCTAGTGAGAAACCCTACTGGAATGTCACAAATCTAATTGGCTAAAACTTATATCATTATATCATTCAAATCAATCTAATAAAATTATTATTCACAGAAAAGATCATTTTACAGGCAATTTATAAATGAGCTCAGTCCATTCCGCCAACGGTTATTTCAAATTTTCATTAAACTCTAATCTTAAACATAGTCCTAATGACAATGACTGGAATTATTTTGTCAATAAACTGTCTATGATATAAAATATTTGACTAAATTACATATTTATAAAATGAATTTGCCTGCAAATTATGCCATGCCATTTATTTAATGATACGTAGTTTATCTTGTAAAACCTGTTTATTTACGCCATGGCAATTCTTGAATGTGTGCCAGGTTGATGGCGCATTAACCAGCCACAATGATCTCAGTATGTACAGTTCATTCGTAAAATTAAACTTCCACTATGTGTTTCATCAACCGTCCCGTATTTTGAATGTTTTCTATTTTTCTTTTGTGAATTGAAGAATAAAAGAAATAATATAAATTTTAAAATTTTTAGCTCGTTCATTATAAAAATATAAAGAGAGTTGACCGTACTTAATATGTAAGTAGAGTATTTCGGAGGTATGTAAGGATAACAAAGCTTATAAAATTTAGTTATAAAAGCGAAACGTCTTTAACATTAAGGAACACTACTATTATTCTTTTTTAAGATACGATTCAGTGTAGATTATGAGAAAATTTTTTTTCATTTAAAGAATTTTTTTTTTATAAACTATATAGTACGTGTTTATTTGAGATTTATTATCATACTTTTAAAGCCAATATTTTTTCTTATGCGCGTATTATCTTAAGAACTTTGGCGTTTTGGTCTGTAAAAATTTTGAAAATTATAATTTATAAACGTTATAAAAGTAAAGAATAAAGTTTATGAAAAAAATGAAGGGAAACGTGCTTTTTTGAAAATAACAAGAACATGATTCGAGTAGAAATAACGTTAAAAATGGTGTTTTCGTTCTATTAAAATTTAGGGGAATTTACAAATAAGGGCCCGGAAAGTGAAATTAATTACAAATACGGGCCCAGATTAAAAATAATTACATATAAAGGCCTAATTTTAAAATATTAAAAATATTACATATAAGGGCCCAAAATAACCGCGACGCTATTCACGCCTGTGGCTTGATCGTTAGTAAGAAACGTAAGCATCGCATAAAATATGTAATGAGCGATTGTAAATTAGTAATTATAAATAAGAAAAGAAAAAGTTTTTAATTAATAAATTTTGTATGATTGTTATAACAAGCCACTATGATGTCAAGTAAAACATTGCGAATTAACATGGCATTTACTAATATAGAAGATGTCGTTCAGCTTTAGAGAGCTACTCTGTTAAAACTTCGCCTTGTGAATAATTGTGCTAGTTTAACGTTATTTTTATGCAATATTTAAGCGAACATGATTATAACTAGCAATAAAAATTTCATCAAATTTGGATAGATGAAAGATAATTTTAACCGATTTGTTTTTTCCTAGATTTTTAGAGTTTTTTAAATTTTTTATGATAATTTTTCGACTAATACTAAACCAAATTTATTAAGTTTTTATTTTAATTCTACAATACTATGGAATTAAAATAAATAATTTTTACCATATTTGATCTATAACTCTAAATGTCTAAAATAAAACAATCGATAATCCTATAATCGCGATTTTGCTATCGTTATAAGCCTGTGATCCGTTTTCTTCAGCTATCAATAGATTTGGCCCTTGTATGTATTATTTTTTTAAAAATTAGGCCCTTATATGTAATTATTTTTAATTTGGGCCCGCTCCGTATTTGTAATTATTTTCATTTTCCGGGCCCTTATTTGTAAATTCCCCTAAAATTTATTATCTATTAAATGATACTTCGGTAAAATGAGATTTTCAGAATTATGTCTTGTTAGTTAATTGGGATGTCAGTATTATGACTTTGGTGAAATGGTATTTCAGTAAAATTGATTTCGGAAAGTTAAACCTGTAACCATAATAACTGCGTCAATAGTTGCGTCAATCGTCATTAGTTGCGTCAATCGTCAATAGTTGCGTCAATCGTCAAAGTTGCGTCTGA